CCTGTGGGAGCCTGTGGGATAATGTGGGGGACTGTGGGAGCCTGTGGGGGACTCTGGGAAACTGTGGGAGCCTGTGGGGGACTCCATGAGACTGTGGGGGATTGTGAGCCCCCTCTCCTCCACCGCCTGCATCTCTGTTGTCCCTGCTGGGTTGGGGGCTGACCAAGTAGCCTCCCTGCCTTCTCAGTCTAACCCTGCCTTTTCCTCCCCAGACTACTGGTGCCTGGATGACCTTTACCGAGAGATGGTGAGGCGCTACGTGGAAGTCCTTGAGAAGCTTCCAGAACATTGGGCTGACCCAGCTACCCTGGAAGGCTGCTCACAGCTGAAGCCGGATAACTATCTCCTCGCCTGGCACACGCCTTTCAACGAGAAGGGTCAGGGGTGCTGTCTTTTCCCTGTAAAGTGCATGCTGGAGCGTGGCCTGGACACTAACCCACGTGTCACCCCACTAACCTGCAGGTCTGCGTGACACAGAGGGACTTGCCGGGGCTTCCACGTAGAGGATACCGGCCTCCCTGATGGTGTGACACCAATCTGGGGTTCGTTTTAAGGAATATATTCAACTGCTTTCCCTCTAAGTGGCTATTTTTTGCCAAATAATCAGGAAAACTTACACAACTAGCATAAATGTCTATCTCCAGGATGCTTTGATGTGCTGATGTATTTACGTAGCCAGAGTCTCTGCCCTGGAGGTCCAGGACCCCCTGTCTTGGTTTATACTGAGGATTGACACCCCCCCAGGGTTTATAAGGAGGATGGACACCCCCCAACCTGAGTTTATACCGAGGATAGATCCCTGAGTTTCTCAATGCGTTGGCTGAGATTAACAGCACATTGCACATTTCAGAAGAAAAATTTAATGGGTTTGAAGGCACGACAATAGGAACAATCCAGAATGGGACACATGTAGAGAAAAGAATCCAAAATCATGAAAAGAGCCATGGACGACTGCTGCATCCTAACATGCCCATAACAGGCTCCCTGACAGCGTGCAGGGGAACAAAAAAAGATTTGAAGAAATAGTGGCCCACATCTCTCCAAATGTGATGAAACTGTAAACCCACAGATCCAAGAAAGTCAGGAACTTCCAAGCACAAGAAACGCAGAGAAAACTACAGTATGGCAGCTGGCAGTCAGATTGCTCAAAACTAACAATCAGGAGAGAGACGTGTGTTCTGTTGCTGACTGCCAAAGTGAGGAGGGTGCTCTTGTCAGAAGTGACGCACGGAGAGCTCGTGGGCAGTGTCACTGAGGCACAGAAGAAAAACTACTTCGCCCTGGAGTGCTGCCTCCAAAAAAGTTTCTTAGAGAAACAGTGGCCAAATAGCCTTTCCAGGCAAACAAAAGCTAAAGGATTTGTCACCCGGAGAGCCACATGGAGAAGGGCTAACGGAAGTCAGTCTCTCAGGCAGCAAGAAACCAATATGGAACAGAAATCCGGGTCTGTGCAAAGAACTTGGATGGAAATCCTAACTATGTGGGTAAATACAGAAGAATTTTTAACTTCCTATTGAAATCTCTTTGAAAGATAATTGACTTGAAAATGATGAGGTACTGCGGGTTTATAAAATGCTATGAGCAGGTGTCTGACACTACCTTATGGAGGCCGGTTGGGAAGGGTGGCGGTGTGAGGTGGGCTGTGGTAAGTGTAAGTCCCAGGCAGACACTCAAAACCCCAGAGCAACCACTAATACAACAAAACAGTTATAACTAATAAGCGAAGAAAAGAGAAGTGGAATCATTTAGAAATATTTGCTGGGGAAGCAGTGCCCCAGGCTGCGTCATCCCGTCGGGGGGAGACCAGGTGTGAGGCTGTCCCTTGGCCTTGGATTCTTCCCCCTCATCAGGAGAAACCGTCCCTGTCTTCTAGGCATGCAGTGACCTTCCCTGTAGTGCTTAAGCATGAGCACCACACGACCCTAGCCAACCCCGCAGGGGGAGCCACCCCACGAGGAGAGCTGCAGGCTCTCGTTTCCCCTGCAGCACGAGGGGGTGTGTGCAGCATCCCTGCCCCACCTCGGCTGCAGGAGGGGCCACTGCCATGGGAGACCAGAGCAAGCTACCAACGCAGGTCTCCCTGCGAGGCTTTGTTTCCTGGAAGGAAGTGCTACCCCGTGTTGCATCCCTGTGTTATGTGCCCCCCCCACCCCACCCCCCGCCGGGCAATTCCAGACGGGAGAAGTTGCAGCTGCCGAGGTCTGAGGGTCTGAGGGCTCCTTCTCATGGTGGTGGGCGCCATCCTCCACCTTCCAACTTCCACACGGTGGAAACCTTCACATGGGATGGACAGCTGCCCTCACTGTTGGATAACATTGAACCCAAAATGGGCAGAAAAGGGGACAAATAACAGGACAAAAGACTTGACCCTGATCACATCAAATGTAAATGGTCTAAAGACTCCAAATAGATGGCAGGGACTCCAATGGGATAAAGAAACGAGTCCCAACTCTAGGTTGTTCACAGGATGTGCACTTTACATATGAAGGCACAGGTAGGTTAGGGAGAGAAGAGGTTCACCATGCCAACCCCAGTCAGAAGAAAGCCAGCGTGGCTCCATTAACATCACAAAAAGTATGTTTTGGAGCAAAGAATGTTGCCAGGGGAAAAGAAGGCAATTTCATCATGACACATGCATCCACTCATCAGGAAGACGTACCAAACCCAAACATTCCTGTACTGACAACAAACCTTCACAATATGTGAAGCTAAAACCAGTAGAACAGCAAGAGAAATTGACAAACCCAGAGTTGTGGGCAGAGATTTCCATATTAAGGTCTCAATATTCACATTAAAAAACTAGAAAACTGGGGGTGCCTGGGTGACTCAGTCGGTTAAGCGTCCGACTTCAGCTCAGGTCATGATCTCACACTCCGTGAGTTCGAGCCCCGTGTCGGGCTCTGTGCTAACAGCTCAAAGCCTGGAGCCAGCTTCGGATTCTGTATCTCCGTCTCTCTCTGCCCCTCCCCTGCTCATGCTCTGTCTCTCTCTGTCTCAAAAATAAATAAAAACATTAAAAAAAATAAATTTAAAAAAAAAACTAGAAAACTGGGGGTGCCTGGGTGGCTCAGTCGGTTAAGCGTCTGACTTCAGCTCAGGTCATGATCTCACACCCCGTGAGTTCGAGCCCCACGTCAGGCTCTGTGCTGACAGCTCAGAGCCTGTAGCCTGCTTCGGATTTTGTGTCTCCCTCTCTCTCTGCTTCTCCCCTGCTCACACTCTGTGTCTCCCTCTCTCTCTGCCTCTCTCCTGCTCACACTCTGTGTCTCTCTCTCAAATATAAGTAAACATTAAAAAAAAATGTTTTTTAAGGAAACTAGAAAACAAAGGGCAAATTAAACCCAAGGGAAACAAAAGACAGGAAGTAATGAAGGTCAGAGTGGAAGTCAATCCCACAGAAAACAGGAAAACAGTAGAGAAAATTAACAAAACCAAGAGCTGATTCTTTGAGAAGATAAAGAAATTGATGAAGCTGAAGCAAGACTGATCAGGACAAAGGAGCGGAAAGTACCAGCACCAGCAGCGGACGGGCAACCTCCCGCAGATTCTACAGAAAATAAGGGAATATATTAAAAATTTTGTTCTAATAGATATCACAACTTAGATAAAATGGACAAATTCCTTGCAGGACGGAAACTACCAAAGGTCGCTCCAGAGGAAGGAGAGCATCTAAACAGCAAGACACAAAGGAAAGCCCAGGTTCAGATGGCCTCCCTGGGGACCCTACCACACCTTTGAAGAAGAGACATACCAAGGGTACACAGCTCTCCAGGGAGCTGAGCGAACACACACTCCCCAAACCCGCTCTGCTTTCCAGGAGGCCGTTAAGAAGAATAAAACGGTGAATTACAGAGTGGGAGAAAATATTTGCAAAGTACACATCTGATAAGTACCCCGAATGTGTAAAGAACTCTTAAAAGAAAGCTAACAACCAGTACAAACACGAGAGAAATATTTAAACAATCCCCCAAGGAAGATGCCTGTGGCCACCTGCTCAACACCATCCGTCACTGGGAAAATGAAGCCCCAACGAGACATAGCGCTGCATGGGCTGAATTTGAAAGGCAGACCGTGAAGTGCCACCCGGGACACAGAGGGCCCGCCAGTGGGACGTAGAACGTGATGACCACTTTGAAAGCCAGTTCGGCAGCTCCTTAAACGTGAGCGAAGTGATCCACTCTGAGGTGTCTGCCCAAGAAAGCATATGTCCAAACAAGGACTTGGTCATGAGTGTCCATGGAGTCGTCTGTGATAGCCTCCGGCCGGAAACAACCCAAGTGTGCAGCAGCAGGTCAGTGGCCAGACCGGCGGTGGCCCCTCCACACAGCAGTCTTGCTGCACCAACACGGAGGAGTGTCAAGAGGGTTACCCTGAGTGAAGGCAGCCAGGTAAAAACGACTCTATGCCGCATGATTCCACTTACATAAAACTCTGGGAAATGCAAACTGGCCTGCAGAGTCAGGCCAGTGGCCGCTGGGAGGCCGGGAGGCACAAGAAGACGTTCGGAGTGACTGCTGGATACGCTCACCATCTCTGCTCAGGGCTTCGTGCACGCACCGTGTGTTCACGCTCACTGCCTTGCACGCCTGGAATGTGTGCAGTTGATCACGTGTCCCTTATAACTCCACGAAACGGTTTCTAAAAAGAGAGCACGTGCGATTACAGACACCTCGTCTGCTTTCCCAGCAGCAGCGCACGGCCGTCGAGAATTCTGTGTTAGTGCCTAACTAACTTTCCAGTGCGGGTGCTTTGCAGTTTGTTTGATCTGTTTTCCTTTGTCAGGCATCTGGGTCGCCTGCTCGTTTTTCACTCATTTAAATGATGCTGCGATAAACGTGGGACTGCACGACATTGTGTACATTTTCAGGACATTTGTGAACATTAGATCGCTGTTCTCTGCTCCCTGCAGGCTCAGGGTTTGGAGCTGCCACCAAAGCCATGTGCATCGGCATGCGGTACTGGAAGCCGGAGCGCCTGGAGACCCTTGTGGAAGTGAGCATCGAGTGCGGCAGGATGACGCACAACCACCCCACAGGTGAGGCCGTGCCAGCGGCGCCCGCGCCCAGCGGTTATGCGGAAATCCTACCCGCTGTTCCGTTGCCTTACTTGTTGTCGGACTTGGGCTTTTCAGTCTTCGGTTCTGCTTAAATGCTGTTTTTGCCCTAAAAGCAGGATTGGGGATGAGCTTGGAAAGACTCTCCCTGGTTTCGGTGCCAGGCATGTCAGAATAAAGGCAAAGCACCAGCTCTCCAAGCAAAGCCATGGGAACCCGAATTTCTATCACACGTGTTGGGCACTGCTTGCCGCCCAGTGCCGTGCCCGGCGGGGGCCTGAGCCAGACTGTGTGAGCTGGAACACCTAATCGTCATGCCTCTCTTCCCCTCTCCCCCCACCCCCCGTAACAGGATGGCCGTGTGTGAGGAGAGAGTGTCCGTATGTCCCTCACACAGGGAGGGCAGGCGGGGGCCCCAGCACGTGACTCAGAGTCATGACTTAGAAGGGCAGTCAGCTTCTAATTTTAAATTAGAAGAATCGCTTGAACGTCTTACTCCTGTAGGTGGAAGGCAGGCGCACGCCCTCCCCAGCCCAAGTCCAGAGGCTTCCAGCTGCTCTCACAGCTGCTCCCCTCTTTCAAGGCCACTTTCAGTGTCCACTGTTACTGGCGTGGCCCTGAGGTTGCAAGGGCCATGCCGTGCCACCCCCCCCCCC